GATGCAAATTTGGCTATTAAAGTCGTTGAACCTTGACTCATATATTAGCCTTGTTTGCTATTGTATTCAAATATATTGTTCGATCGTTAATATGATCAAAATTAAAGCCCTGAAAATTTGATTTTCACAGAAAAAAGATCTTACATTAACAAAGTTATTAAATACAAAATAAAAGTTTTTGAAATATTAGTAAGAAAATTAATTACATTTTTTAGACCAAATAGAACAGAACAACAAGTTTAATCCAAGTGCGATTGTTACCTATGCAGATCGGAGGCAGCCCAATCCACTTTCCGTCGGAATTGCAAATGCGATGAGGGTTTCCGCGGAGTTCGTAGCCCTCGTTACAGGAATAATATATCTCGTCCTCGAACAAATACGATTCTCCGTAAATGCGTCCGCGCGGAAAGTATCCCGGGAAGCCGCATTTTATTTCTTCGGACAAAAAAACGACCAAACCAGAATCATTTAGATTTCACGGTCAAATCAAATCAGTTCCATTTTACACTTTTTTCTTTGTGTTATAACACGGATCACAAAGGAATCAGAACTTACTCATGCAGATCGGCGTATTGTATCCTTCCCACTGACCATGCTTGAGACACTTTCTTCTGACGGACCGGTATTCCTCATTGCCGAATCGAACTACGTATCCATTATCGCAGTAATATGTTATCTCAGACAGATCCTCGCTCACTTTAATGTTACCCTTGAAGGGCACTACGGGCAGAGGACAGCCATGACAAAACGGACTGGCTAAAATCTATGTGTAAAGATATGAGATATCAATCATCACTTATGATCCATCGCTAAATTTGAAAAAGAGAGGACTTTTCCAAGCAGACACAACAAATCGCAATAACATCAAAATAATATTAAAATAAATATTAGATGTATAACTAAGTTCCCGCCATTAATTATTAAAATTCTTTTATTAATATATAAGAAACAATAGTTTTAATCAAAACATTTGCCGTTTGCATTTATCATCTTTTCGCGGCGAAAGAATGTCTCGTCTTTCGATGAGATGAATTCATTGATTCATTTCTTGATATCTGCTTTATTTTATAAGTATGTTTCGATACAGTGTGCTCTCTCTCTCTCTCTCTCTCTCTCTCGTTTCGTGAACCTTACAGTCCACTTTATCAGGGCTAGAAGCAGCTTGAAACTGTTTTTGGCAATACAAAATAGTACAAATTCAATCGTATTGATTTCTGATATTATTCTCCTTTTTTTCTTTTATTTTGAATTAGTCCTGCCAGCTTAATATTATAAGTTAGCATCGCCACATTTTTTTTCGAAATAGCATAC